CAAACTAAATCAGTGCTGAGAGGCTATAAGCCCCTGTCACTGTCCAAAATTGACACCCGATGACCATCGCGAATATGGAAGTTGTGGAGATTGTTCGACGAAGATGGCGTCCGAACCACACACGAAGGGCAAACATTTACATTACATTTAAGACAGTACACTGCTAACGAAGTAACAAAAAACATTATGTAAAGTATTATATATTACTGATATTTTCAGACTTGTTCTTTACTCGTTTATCCCGTCTTTATATTAGAGATATTAAGTGTTTCTCCCGTAATTTGGTTGCCAGGACACAAACACTTTCCTGTAAACATCGTCCTTTCAAAAATAATATATGATATCCTTTTCAGTTTCAACAGAACACAAATTGGGTTATTTACATAATATTTTACATGATTTTGTTGGCATAAAACAACCGATGACGCCAACGATAAGGGAAAAGTCGAAATTTCAGTCTGATCGAACACATCGGACAATTCGTGAGGGCATCAATTAAGCCATCGTATGAACCGAGCCGGTGGTAGGTTCTTGAGGCTCGCGGCAACAACTTCGTGTAGCGCTGGTAAAATCTTTGGCATGCAAAAAATTGCCGAAGGACCTTACGAAATGGTTCATGCTTCGTGTTGAATTCGTCTGTCAAATTGTGCCCTTCGTAAGGCCATCGTGAGAGCATCCTGTTATGCATCCGGTGCATCGGCGAGTCACCAGCACCCCATCAGAGTGAGGGCGAATGCCCAATGGGCACCGATGATAATGAAGATGCCCCTCATCTATTTGACAAGATCCCTCCAAGCTACCTTACAAGTTGCCGCTCACCGAAGTGCTGCCGGATCCGCTTGAGAAAACTCCACGGGGTCATACGATGTCTTTTAAGATGCCCCACGATGGCCAATGTTGTTACGATCAGAGCCGAATTTGAACATTTCCTTAATCGTGTGTCCATCAGGTGTCAATTTCGGGACAGTGTGACAGGGGCTTAAACCTCATACATTTGGACGTCTGCTTTGTAAAGTTGAAAGCTTATAAACATGTATTCTATCACACAAGTCTGCTACATTCGGCATTCAATGCAAGTGTTAACAAAAGTGTGAACTGCCATGTTCCGGGTAATTATACAAAATATTCTAAAATTAAAGCTTTTTTCTGCAAAATATGCATTTAATTTGTAAATGGAAAAAGGTTAAAATGGACAGATGCACCATTTGTTCACGATTTTTTGTTTTTTGAAGGTTCTTTTTTTTGGGCCAGAGAGGGCTCTATTAGAGATTCTATAGAGTTGAAAGGGGGAGATGGAGGGGAGGACATTGCCTGAATGTTAGGCCGGCTTACTAGGCAGCAGTTTACACATAACGGGCACTAACCACTGATCTATCTGGCCCCTGGCTAGTGTTTTTAATCTTGTAGGGATGTGAACAATATTTAATTTGCTTTACTGCTGCCGTGGGCAATTCATAGCCAAATTCATATTTAAGTGCCATTAATTCAGGTCTAGGTCTCCTAACTTAGGCAGCATTAACCATAGAAGAAGAACCTTGTCTCATGTCAGCCAGTAGCAGTGCTCCCAAGCAAAGAATTAAGCGCTTTGTGTATTGTAGTTAAAAATCCTGAGATTTATTTATTGCACTTTATAAACTCAATGAATATGTGAAGACGTTATTCTGGTTGTGTTTACATCCTGAATTTGAATGTATTTTCAAATGTACAATTACCTAACACTAAGTTCATCTCATCATGGTGTGAAAATGTACCTCCATCGTCTGTCTGTGTCGGTCCCTCCGTCTTACACTGAACTTCACTGGGAGGGATCACCGGAGATGTCTGAGTGGAGAAGTCAGCCTGAGAGGCAGGAAGTGGCTGTGAGAAAGGAGGCAGCAGACTCTCTGACTCAGCCTCCTGACAGGAGCAAACCCAAATCATGTCAGATGAAGAACCCTCAATATACCATTTATGGATCCAATATTTAAAAAAGGATATAGGTTCTGGGATTAAATATCAGATTCTCTTTAAAGGTCACCTATTATGCAAAATCCACTCGTTCATGTCTTTTCTACATCAACATGTGTCCCCTCTCTGTAAAGAGACTCTGAAAGTTTCAGGAAAAAAGATTCGCTCACTTTTTGTCCTGATCCATTTATATACAGTAAAAACCTGTCTGAAAATGAGCTGATCAGATTTTGGGCCAACCTTATGGATGTATAACGATTTGTTGGCTTGTTGTAACGCATTAGCCAATACACGCCAACCAAGTAACCCCCACCCGCTCAC